CCCACCCCGCCCCAGGGAAGCCTTTCCAAGCCGGGGGCGGAGGCGCCCTCCCAGCCGCTGACGCAAGCCGGGTATAAAAGACCCGGCTCTATTCCCGGGTCGGGCAGCCACCTGGCCGCTGGAGGGGTGCCGCCACCTGGGCCCGGGCGCCAGGCGGCGGCCTCCCCTGCCATTGGTTCCGTCCAGGAAAGTGTGGGAGACTTGAGCACACTCATTTCATGGACTGCGCAGCCGATGCGAGGATCATTTACAACCCCGCAGCCTGCACCGCAACTGGGAGCCTCTGAAAAGACCTCAAGAACAAGGGGGCATGGATAGGAGATGAGAGGAGGTTGTTCTGATGAAAAAGTAATATATTTCCAGTTCATTAGAGCAAACAAAGAAAGACAAGTTTACAGAAGTAGAAATCTCCTATAACTGCACCCATAATTTCATATTCTCTTTCTCGTCTCTCTCATTCACAGGCTGCCCATAAACACCTACCCTCCACACTGTTATTGCATCTTAGAAATTGTTCTGTTGGGAGGATGCAATCAGGGCAGGCTTTCTGAAGGACATGGCTATGAGGCATTCAGAAACTGAGCAGAGCAGCCTGGGACTCAGGACCCTTTAATTGTTTTGCCTTGGTACTGGAATGGAGGGATCCTAGGCCTCTGACCCAGACTTCACTCCCAGTTTGCCAACTACTCTTGGCAGTGGGCAGTGCCCAGAGAGAAGTGGTTGGGCCAGTTGGACCAGCAGAGCCTGAGCACACAGCCAGCAGCCTCCACCCCAGGTCTTCCTTGGGGAGTGAGAGGCCGTGGGGCACCAGGACCCCCCTGCCAACTGACTCACCATCCTCCCACACACGGCCGCATCAAGCCCTTGCCTCTGCCCAGGCTGTGCTTTGCCCCTGAATTGTACTTCTAATCAAGCTTGTAGCATTCTAACAAGGCCCCAGGTAAATGGTCCTCCTCCAAGGAGCCTTCCAGATCCCTGCCCCTGACCAAAGAGGTCTTGTGCTTCCTGTTAGCTGTTCGGTGCCATTGAGTCACTTCCGACCCATATCGACCCTATGCACAACAGACACAGCAGTGCCCAGTCCTGCACCATCCTCACCATCGTTGCTATGTTTGAGCCCATTGTTGCAGCCACTGTATCATCGAGGGTCTTCCCCTTTTTTGCTGACCCTCTACCTTACCAAGCATGATGTCCTTCTCCAGGAACTGGTCCCTCTTGATAACATGTCCAAAGTAATCGAGACAAAGTTACCCTACCCTTACTTTTCTAAGAAGCATTCTGGCTGTACTTCTTCCAAAACAGATTTGTTCGTTCTTCTGGCAATCCATAGTATATTCAATGTTCTTCACCAACGCCATAACTCAAAGGCATCGATTTTTCTTTGGTCTTCCTTACTCATTGTCCAGCTTTCACATGCACATGAGGTGATTGAAAATACCATGGCTTGGGTCAGGCACACCTTAGTCCTCAAGGTGACATCTTTGCTTTTTAACACTTCAAAGAGGCTTTTTGCAGCAGATTTGCCCATTGCAATACAGTGTTCGATTTTTTGACTTCTGCTTCCATGGGTGTTGATTGTGGATCCAAGTAAAATGAAATCCTTGACAACTTCAGTATTTTCTCTATCTATCATGATGTTGCTTATTGGTCCAGTTGTGAGGATTTTTGTTTTCTCTATGTTGAGTTGTAATCCAAACTTTAGGCTGTAGTCTTTGATCTTCATCAGTAAGTGCTTCAAGTCCTTTTCACTTCCAGCAAGCAAGGTTGCATCATCTGTATATCACAGGTTGTTAATTAGTCTTCCTCCAATCCTGATGCCGCCCACGTTCTTCTTCATATAGTCCAGTTTCTTGGATTATCTGCTCGGCATACAGATTGAATAACTATGATGAAAGGATACAACGCTGACTCAAACACGTTTCCTGACTTCAAACTACGCAGTATCCCTTTGTTCTGTTCGAACCACTGCCTTTTGGTCTATGTACAGGTTCAGCACGAGCACAAAATCACGGGTGGATTAACCAGTAAGCAAGGTATGCACTGGTTTGCTTTGAGCAAGGTATTTACTTGCTAATCTGTGGTGAGCTATTTCACATGGTTTTCACTACATCTTTGATGTGGTGGGGACAAGTGAAATTGTGCACTGCATATTGGTGGAAAGGCACAATTGGGCCCAGGCATACCTTGCGTATTGGGTAATGCAGCCCTGAGCACAATTAAGTGTCCTTGAATTTCCATTCCTTGCAATGTTATCCACAATTTGCTATGATCCACACAGTCGAATGTCTTTGCATAGTCACTAAAACACAGGTAAATATCTTTCTGGTATTCTCTGCCTTCAGCCAAGATGCTTCTGACATCAGCAATGATATCCCTTGTTCCACGTCCTCTTCTGAATCCAGCTTGAATTTCCAGCAGCTCCCTGTTGGTGTATTGCTGCGACCGTTTTTGAATTATTGGCAGTGCGATGGATCACTTTTGTTTGGCTGTTCTCTCTATGGTCTTATAATTCCCACCCAGGTGATTGGGCTGGATTGTGCAGATAGGGTAATTGTGGCCCACCAAAGGGATTGGTCAGTTTTGCCATCCCACTGGGTTTGAAATGAGCCACCCCAGAAGCAGGAAAGAGAGGATCCCACCACCACTAAGGAAGAACAGCCAGGAGTGGAGAGTGCATCCTTTGGTCCCGGGATCCCTGTACTGAGAAGCTCCTGGAACCAAGAGACAGACTGAGAAAGACAGCTGTAGCACTAAAGACAGCGAGAAGCAATGGCAGAGACCTGGCAGCAGGAGATGGCGTGGTGGGCTTCCGCGCCCACATAGAGAGAAAGCTGAGTGCCTTTGGGCACAGGCTGAGGGCCAGCGAGAGGCACGCCTGTGAGCAAGGCAGGGATGAGGCTGTCTTGATGGAAGAACTGTATCCTGAGTGTTCCTGAGCCTGAACTGTAACTGTTACTTCTCTAATAAACCCCATAATTGTGAGTATTGTCTGTGAGTTGTTTGTGGACATTGCAATGAATTATTGAACCCAGCAGAGAAGTAGAGAGTACTGTGCGAGGGACCCTTGGTGACAGAATTGGTAAAGATGGCAAAGAGAGGAGGCATGTCTGACCTCAGCCTCATAGGAATCAGCCTTGGGCTATTGATCTTGCTTCTCCTTCCCTCTTGTGAATTTAGGGGAGGTCAGACAGTGCCCTCGTGTCATTCTTACAATTATCTTCAGTATTTTACTTCATGTGATATTAATGACATAGTTCGATAATTTCTGCATTCTACTGTATCACCTTTCTTTGGAATGGGCACAAATATGGATCTCTTGCAGTTGATTGGCCAGGTAGCTCTCCAAATTTCTTGTCAGAGACGAGTGAGCACTTACAGCATTGCATCCCGTTTGTTGAAACATCTCAATTGGTATTTTGTCAATTCCTGAAGCCTTCTTTTTTGCCAATGTCTTTAGTGCAGCTTGAAATTCTTCCTTCAGTACCATCAGTTCTTGAGTTCTTGATCATATGCTACCTCCTGAAATGGTTGAACGTCGACCAATTCTTTTTGGTACAGTGACTCTGTGTACTCCTTCCATCTTCTTTTAATGCTTCTTGCATTATTCAAATTTTTGCCCATAGAATCCTTCAATATTGCAACTCAAGGCTTGAATTTTTCTTCAGTTCTTTCAGATTGAGAAATGCCAAGGGTGTTCTTTCCTCTTGATTTTCTAACTCCAGGTCTTTGCACATGTTATTATAATATTTTACTTTGTCTTCTTGAGCTGCTCTTTGAAATCTTCTGTTCAGATTTCAGTGGAGCTTCTAGACCAAGACAGACTAGGAAGAAGGACATAGAGGTCTACTTCTGAAAAAACTGGCCAGCGAAAATCTCATGGATAGCAGTGGAACATTGTCTGATACAGTGCCAGAAGATGAGCCCCTCAGGTTGGAAGGCACTCAAAATACAACTGAGGAAGAGCTGCCTCCTCAAAGTAGAGTCAACCTTAATGACAACGTGGATGGAGTCAAGCTTTCGGGACCTTCATTTGCTTATGTGGCATGACTCAAAATGAGAAGAAACAGCTGCAAACATCCATTAATAATTGGAACATGGAATGTATGAAGTATGAATCAAGGAAAATTGGAAGCTGTCAAAAATGAAATGGAATGCTTACAGATTGATGTCCTAGGCATTAGTGAGTTGAAATGAACTGGTACTGGCCATTTTGAATCAGACAATCGCATGGTCTACTATGCCAAGAATGACAAATTGAAGAGGAACAGTGTCACATTCCTTCACTGTCAAAAAGAACATTTCAAGATCTATCCTAAAGTACAATGCTGTCAGTGATAGGATGATATCCATGCACCTACAAGGAAGGCCAGTTAATACGACTATTATTCAAATTTATACACCTACCACTAATGCAAAAGATGAAGAAACTTAAGACTTCTACCAGCTTCTGCAGTCTGAAATTGATCAAATATTTAATCAAGATACATTGACAATTACTGGTGATTGTAATGTGAAAGTTGGAAACAAAGAAGGATCAGTGGTTGTAAAATATGGCCTTGGTGATAGAAATGACACTGGAGATCACATGATAGAATTTTGCAAGACCAATGACCTATTCATTGGAAATACTTTTTTTGCAACAACATAAACAGTGACTATACACGTGGATCTCACGGATGGAATACACAGGAATCAAATTGACTACATCTGTGGAAAGAGATGATGGAGAAGCTCAATATTACCAGTCAGTACAAGGCCAGGGGTCGACTGCGGAACAGACC